GATCCAAATTGGCTCCAGCCTGCAAACTGAACCTGTAAATAGAGAAAAGAAAGAGGAGGAAGAAAACAATCTGCCAGACACGTAACAGCCTTTTTCACTCTCAGAAGCCTGCTGCTGTAAGCTGTTAATGGAGTCAGATTTTTAAGAAACCTTCTAGAAGAGAATCTACTGATTTTCTGCCATGTTAGTCTGTCTTCTAATTTATTGAACACAATTTTCCTACAGTACTATAAATATAATACTATTTTTCTGTTATACTTTTGCCTTGTCTCTACTCTAGATTAAAGGTGACACAATGGCCCAGCCAGCTGTTCTGCGGATCATCTTTGGAGATGAGTCTGACTCAAGAAAACTGCACCTGGTTTCTGGAATCCCTGCAACAACTGATGATTTACACACAATAGTAAAGACTTCATATCAGATAAAAGAGGACTTCCGCCTGCAATACATGGATACTGACTTCAATGACTTCATGAACCTTACTTCAATGTCTGAAATTCAAAATAAAAGCACTCTGAAGGTTATATATCTAGCACCCTCACAGCCCTATGTCACTTTATACCCTGTTGACTCATTTGATGAGAATGCAGGTGCTACTTATGCTGACACTCACACCCCAGCTTCGTCTTTAGCCTCATCCTGCAGTGATGATACTCTACACACTTCAACTCCTCATTCAAGTCCTGAAAGACAGTCCTCCACATCATCCTCATGGCCAAATGTGTTTGTGGTCCCAAAATTCACTTATGAGGCTGAATTTGAGCTGCAGCAAAAAGATACAGAGTTTGAGGCAAATGGCACATACTTCAACCCTGGACCAAAGCTGAAAGGAGTCATCTTAGATGGCCTTGCACAGGAAATGATGAGGTACACAAAATACCCTAAAGACTATCAGTGTGAAGAGGTAGCAGCTGCTTTGACGAGGGCTCATCCTTGTTTAGGGCAGCTTGGATCTAAGACAGGATTTTGGGGATGGAAACAATCCCTCAAGTATAAAATGCAGAACTATCGAACAAAACTTGGACGACTTGGACATCCTGAAATTCGTGTGAACTCACTGAAGCACAAAAAGGAAGGCCAAGGCAAAGCAGCAGCCAACATTAAGAAACCAAGAAAGGCTGAAGTTCATTATGTTCCTCTGCACCCAAAAGGTGAAAGTTCAGAAAGCCTGGAAAAAGAGAGAGTTGTCTTGTTATCAGAAGTTAAAAAACGGGACAATGAAGTGGTGATAAAAGAGAAAATGCAGAAAACATTCTCCAGCAGACGATTAGAGATTGTGGAGCAGAGACCCATGATTGAGGACATTCAAGAAAGATGGCCAGCCCTGTTTCATGAGAGCGAAGTAACTATTTATTGCACCTAGTACTGAATCATTTTGGATATAATTCAGATATGTAAAAATGTGTTTCATATTTTTCAGGTGAATGCAGAGTTTCTACGCATCACTACTAAGCCTCTACAAACAAAGTTCATGTCTCAGTTTGACCTCCTCTCAGACAAACTGATGAAGATTTTGGAGAGCAAAGGAGGCTTGAAGGGGCAAAAGATCAAGGCCGTCTTAGCCGGAAAG